GTTAGCTTTATTCTCTCTGGTGTTGTGTGAGAGACTGGAGCAAACAAATGAGCAGGCTTTGCAAGCTTTCTTTGCTTTGCTTTCTGATCCACCTCTGACTTGTGAGAGTATTTGTAGCAAACACAGCACTGCTCACCATGCTCCACCAAAACTTCACAGTCCCGTGTTCTCCAATATTCCAGCTGTGGGAATATCTCAGAATCATCTCTGAATAACGGATCCACTGACTTCGGTATAATGTGGTGTACGATATCGGATGACAGTTCAAATGGTCTCACTCCAGGGCAAATCAAGAGAACATCAATTCTCTTGATAAGTTCAGAGACTGTGATGTTCATAACGGATCGCAAGGTTTCAAGATGAATCGCATGATCATCTGGCAGAAACCATCCAAACACAGACACAGAAAAACCAAGACTATCATNTCGTTTTCTTTTCTTGTAGCGGTTCAACTGAGTGTTTCCATCAGGTTTGTCGAGTTCAAGTGATGTTTTCCAGTGGCGGATCGAATGGTTTTATAATCGATTTGAATTTGACTTCTAATCAAGGACACTCTTTATTCAACTGCGCATGCGGCACACACAATGTTCGCAATTCCCAAATTAAACTCTCAATGAAGAAAGGTTTTTGACGCCAAACATCAAAAACGCAGCTCACCGGTAACTTTCAAATGATCAGTTTGAAGGTTTTTCTAGATCTTAACATTTTTACTGACTGCTAGTTATTTTTCAACAGTCCTATATCTCGAGGAATCTTTGGATCTAAAGACTGAAAAGCCAGCCTCCAGGCTTCTTATTATACTCACTTTTTAAAATGCCGTTCTCAGTATTACAATACTCGCCTAAACGCATAATCAGAAAATGTTAAATGGCTTATTTCACTGAGAACTGTGGTTAGAAAACATTGTATCCTTTCCCTCTTTAGAATCTTTCCTTCGTCTAGCATAAAGAAGAATCGCCCACACTAAGTGTATGTCATCTCCTAGGTAAGTCAATTGACACAATTCTTTGACAAAGTAAATGAGTTAAAGAAACCTTACACTCCCTTACTTTTTAAATTTTCTAAGCCGTCACTAGTCCTCAAACCCGAAACAGTCAAGACAGACTAAATCTGAGAGTCAGCTAGATTTTTTCGCCGGATTGTTGATTTAAGGTAGCCTACTGAAAAAGTGTGCCGGGCGTGCTTCTATAAAAGAAACCATGAAAAACTACCTAACACGGTAAAGCTAGCGCCTATAGCGAATAGATTGCGAAAATAATAAAAGTTTTTATTGGTTTTGTTTCGGTAGGCACATCCAAGCCGTTAAAGACAAAACTGATGGTGTTTGTTTCACTGAATTACCAGCCTTTGCGTTACCGCGGACAACCAAACAAACTGGACTGTATCACTCAGCAGATGAAAGGCTAGAAAAGAATGCGAGGCTTTTTCGATATTCCTATTGGTTCGCGAGAGAATCTTTATTGAAGTTGAACAAAAGAAAATAATCAGTCGGTTCCGTTAAAGCCTAACACGTTTTTGTGCGTTAGCTAGTATCCAATGAATGGTCTGATCAAGTTTCTTCAAAATCCATCAAAACTACAGACCCTTGCGATTCGTTTAAGTAAAGTTAACTCGCGTGAAAACAGACTTCAAAGTCTCGGCCTTCAAAGAGATTGAGTTAGGCTTTTGTCGAGGGTCAAGGGTTGTAGGTAAAGTGTCAAGGGTTCAATAAAAGTTAGTGGTATCTATTATTCATTCATTTACTTAATTATTTTTATTATTTTACTTGTATCTTGTGGTCAGAAATGTCCGCAAGTTAACTCGGGCGTTTCGTCCCTTTATCACTTTCTCGCATTCTTGCGCGTGTTTCAGTGCGTTATAAAGTTCGTGGGGAAAGGATTTTTGATTTCGTTCTCCTTCCTAAGTAATCTCTCTTTCGATTTGTTGGACGTCTTTTGAAACATGCAATGCCAGATATGGAAAACAAATTAGAGCATTAAGGGCTTGCGTGACACTCAATCCATCTGAGGACGGGGATTGCTTCTATTCCTCGGCTGCACAGGCTCTGGGCATTGAAACCCTGAGCCTGAAGAACGTGATGTTCGAGTACCTAAAGAACGAAAGTGCAAAAGCGAGACACTGATATCAAATGTTTTCGTTATAGCTCGATTGTCGCTCTTGTATTGAAGCCTTATTTCTCTGTAAAATACTTCTGCCGTCGAAATTATCTAGGTGCGAATGTCGACAAATTTATAAAGGTCTCCGTGCTCCAGGAAAAATAAGTAATAATAAATAATAAATCGAGACCGCCGGACAAAAGTCCGGGAAAAACCGTCAACCCTCTGCTGGAGACTTTCTAAATCATTACACCTTTTACTATTCGGTACCAACTACCCTAAAATGATATTGGTGACCATATTTTTTATATGCCTATTTTCATCCTATATAATTTAATTCATATATCTTATTTTTTTGTTTTTGCAATGCGCACTCGGCCGTTTAGTTGGTAAGGGTCTTTCAGCGGTCGAAAGTCCTTTTCAAGAGAAAAGAAAATCCGTTTGTTTTCTTACACCATTTATTCTCTTTTGCGATATGTCACCTTTTGTTCCAGCCCGTACACATGATTCTACTTATTTCATTTTTGTTGTCCCTTTCCGATCAAGGGGTCGATTATGAGAGTCATGAGAGTAGTGTCGTTTAAGTATTTCTTTCAGTATTTAGAATGACTTGGGCATCATGTTGTCACAAGATTTTGTTATTTTCATTTTTCTCCACCAAATCTAGGTTTTTCAAACGTCTCTACGATATTCCCGACAGATTTTCACCCTGCCGAACAACCAACCAAAGCATCTTAGAAAAACTCTCACTATCTATTTAGATTTGAAATGCTTGGTTTGTTTTAACCTAAATCCCCTTGCGAAATCAAAAAACGCAGTTGTTTGTTCTGATGTTCCGTGTTCCCTGCAGACATTCCAGAGTTCATTACTTTAAAAAATCTGGAATTCATTCCAGATTCTTTAATGTAACTTTTTGAGGCAAGGATGGTAATATTCCAAGAGGGGGAAACAGTCAAATTTGAATAAAGCTATATCGCGGAAGCGAAAAGGGCTGGCGATTGTTTAAAAGAAGAAGCTAAAAGGGTGGGCAACGCCATTAGAGAACTAACCGTAACGTCGCACCACGTTGGTCGCTATAGAAATAAGAGCCCAAGATCATGTTGGGAACGAAGTGATTCCATCACTAACAGAGTCGGCTTTTTAAAGAAAACCTACCAGTTGTGTAGTGCATGCCCCTTTATTGGATAGAAGTATATCGGATGACTGGGGCAAACACTGCACGAAATGCCGACTATACGCCGGGAACGATATACTGATGTATAATAGTTTTGTTGAATAAGGATTGTATACTGCTCAGTATATTTCTCTTTCTTATCCATCTGTGTATTGAAAATTATACTTTCCTTACACATAGTGTAAGGTGAATTTACAAGTAATTTAACATACTTAGAAAAAAGCTCTTAACTGGACATATTTAGTATATGTACACTGCAAAATGAGAAGAGCCAAACGATCCCAAAAGCCAAATTGGCCCCAATTTATCGAGGGCCAATTTGGCCAATTAAGGTTCGTTGGACACGCGATTTCATTTGTTTGTTGTTCTTTTGTAAGCGCCAGGCGTCACCCCGTGTGTGGGACTGGATCGAGATTAAAAAGGTTGTGTTGTGAGCACATGGAATTAATGAGTCTAGAGTGTGTTTTTTAAAGCGGGACAGTTAGAATAATTTCCCAAGCCTAGGAATCTCCATAGTGGTCCTTCGAGCGCCGGATACAATAGAATTACATTGGCTTTTGGATTACACCTACGTAGAATCGAAGCATGGCGGAGAAATCGGCGAAATCGCAGTTGGAAGTGTCAGATATGGACGAGCGAAGCGAAATCGTGACACGTGAAAGGAACCTGCCGCGGTATTTGAGCTATTACACCGAAGTCCCCGGTCAAAACAAACTCCAGACGATCAAGAACAGAAGAAAATCGATGCGAGGGAATTTGACACGGAAGATGAATATCATAAGGGAGTACCTCGAGGAACAAAAAGACCGTAAGTTAATTGAGCTTGCATGTACTCAACTAAATCGAGCATGGGATCAATTGATCGAGATTCATGGAGAATTTCAAGCCTTGTGTGGTAATGATGAGGAACTGCAGGAAGCAGATACATGGTTATTGGAGTCCCAAGCACTAGTAGAGGAACTGATTTGTAAAACTGTTGAGTATCGTGAAGTCAAAACTCACGCTAGTGAAACGGTCTCAAAAGCTCACATCGAGCCAGAAGCAGCTAAAATTCGGACGGAACAAACCGAAAACTGTTCAATCACCAGCCTGGGTCGCAGAAGCAAGAAAAGTGGAAGCAAAGCGATCTCTTCTGTGTCCCGAGAACGTGCAAGAGCAGCGGCTTGGGAAGCTGACTTAGCTAAACTGAAAGTGAAGCAACTTAAAGAGAAAGCTCAACTGGAAGCTAAGATTGCAGCACAGAAAGCTCAGTTTGAAGCAGAACTAGTGATTCAGGAAGCTGAACACGAGGCAGGTAGGAAGGAAATTGAGGCATTACTGTTAAAAGAAGAATTTGAAGAATATAGTGTATCTGATCGCATGAAAGATTCTGAGGATAACTCGGTGGGAGGAGATAATGTAAAGATTGAGACAACGCCCCAGGTCAAGCAAGAAGATGTACTCATGAGTGACATTAAGGACTCCAAAGAGAAACTTAAGAAATGGTTGAAAACAGTGAGCCCTAAGGAAGAGGAAACGGATGAAGAGAAAGAGAATGACATTTCTAAGCATTTACTTGGCAAAGAAAGAAATGTGGGTTTCTCACAGTCTGTCTTTTCAAAGTCAGCAATGATGACTTCACTCCCTAAACTTAACTTACCAGCATTTGATGGAGATCCTTGTGCGTGGCCAAACTGGTATGGCATATTTAAAGCTTTAGTGCATGATCAACCGCTTTCCAAAACACAGAAATGATCTATCTCAAAGGATCAGTTAAAGGAACTGCTGAAAAAGCCATAGCTGGGATGTTTTTTGATGGTACAATGTATGAAAAGGCCATTGCAGAGTTAACTCAACGATTTGGAAACCCCGCCCTTATTTCAAAGTCTCTGATCAATAAGTTTCTGGAGATACCAGCAGTTCAGGATGAAAACACGTTAAGTTTGAGATTGTTTGTCGACAACTTACACACCATTGTGAGACCACTGAAGACTTATGGTCATGAAGCAGATTTACGAGCAGCAGCTAATTTGCAGCAGATTGTTACAAAGTTGCCTCCGAGAATGGCTGTTAGGTGGAGCAGGCGAAAGTTAGAGCTGCAGCCAAAGGGAGTTGACTTTAACGATCTTGACGAGTGGCTGAGGACAGAGGTTCAGGTCCAAGAGATGGCTTTTGGTTTTTCCAGTACTAAGGAGAGTTCTGCACAAGAGAAACCCAAGGCAAATTCAAACAAACCCAAGTGGTTCAAGAAAAAGAAGGATGTGTGGAATGACACTCATGCAAATTCAGGAGCGAAAGTGGAATGTTTTGTGTGCAAGGAAGAACATGTGCTGACATCATGTGAGACTTGGAAGAAGTTAGCTGTAAATGAACGATGGGAATTAGCAAAAAAGTTGGGTCTGTGCTTTCGTTGCCTCAAAAGAGGACATCGAGTTGAACGTTGCTCGCTGAAAGGAACGTGTCCAGTGGAAGGATGTTTGCGAAGACACCACCCACAACTTCATGCAGTCATAGCGCCGGCACAGTTAAATCCAACGGCTGAGGCATTCCATCCCCCACAAGCAGCTGCAGAAGAAACGTCAGCAACCGGTACGCGAAGTAATCATACAACCTGTGGAGTGACTGAAGAAAGTGTACCATGCCCCGGAAGAGTAGCCCTGCAGATGATACCCGTAATTCTGGAAGGGAAAAATGGAATAAAGATCAGAGCAAACGCCTTTCTTAATGGTGGTTCTGGATCGTCCTACCTAAAGGAGGAGATCGCTGACATATTGGGCTTGGACGCTGAGCGTAAACCACTACGTGTGGCTGTCTTTGGAGTGAAGTCAATTGTGACAGATAGCAAAACTGTAACTGTGCACCTAGAAAGTATAGATGGGAGCGTTAAGAAGTGTGTATTTCTGTGAACAACGCCCAAAATTTGTGAAATGACAGCGGTTGACTGGTCACCCAATGCAAGGAAACTAGACCATTTTCGTGATTTGGAGATAGAGAAGCCAGTTGAACATGGAGAAGTTGATGTACTGATTGGAAGTGATTATTATGATGAACTTCTTCTACCACTTGAATATCGCACAGGAAAGCGAGGGGAGCCTGTAGGGATAAAGACACCACTTGGATGGACAATTGTTGGACATGTCTCAGAAATAGCAGACGAGGGTAATATTGCTAACCATGTCTACACATTCCATGCAACCTTTACTCCGCAAATGAGGACCGATGAGTTGATGCGGAAGACGTGGGATGAAGAATTGCTGGGAATCACTAACCAAAACAAGCCTTTGACTGCAGAAGAGGTGCTTGCTACTCGCAAGGTGGCAGAGTCGAGGTGTTACGCCGAGGGACGTTATGAGGTGGCAATACCATTGCAAGACGATGAACCGCCGTTGTATTGCAACAGGAATACCGCTGAGGACCGGCTCTACTCTCTTGAGAAGCACTTACAACGAAGGCCAGACGTTGCAGAGAAATATTGTCATGTGATGGAAGCAAATGAAGCCAAGGGTTACATCAGGAAACTGGAGCCAGGAGAAATTGATGATGGCCCAAGTTGGTACCTACCTCATTTTCCCGTGGTAAGAGAAGATAAAGAGACTACCAAAGTGAGGATAGTGTACGATTCAGCGGCCAGATACGGCGGAGTAAGCCTTAATGATACCATGTTGGCTGGACCAAAACTGCAGCAACGTGCTGTTGCGTTTCCGCAGTAATCCGGTAGCCCTGGTCGCGGATCTGAGGGAAATGTTCTCGCAAGTCATCATGGCGAAGAAAGATAGACGGTACCACCGCTTCCTATGGCGAGGTCTAGACCTCTCAAAACCCCCTGAAGTCTATGAAGCAATGAGATTAATGATTGGTGATCGTGCTTCACCTTACTTAGCCCAGTACGTTGTGCGACAACATGCAGAAGATAACAGAGATATCTACCCGCTAGTAGTGAACATTATCCTATTACAGATGTACATGGATGACATTATGACCTCATTGGAGACGGATGATGAAGCGATTGAAGCTCGAGACCAGCTTAGAGAGATGCTTGGCAAGGCAGGCTTCAAAATACGGGGTTGGTGTAGTAACAGGCCTGAGGTGCTTAGAGATGTTACTGAGGAAGATCGTGTGGCGAATGTTAACATTGAGGAGTCTGAACTACCTTGAATGAAGGCGTTAGGAGTGCAATGGAATGCTGAGACGGATATGTTTACCTTCAAATTGCACCCCCGTCAGGATGTTATCTATACGAAGCGAGGGTTCCTAAAGAAACTAGGCATGCTGTTTGACCCATTACAGATGCTAGCACCATTCACAGTTAGGGCCAGGATGGCTATGCAGGAGACGTGGCTACTGGGTTTAGGTTGGGATGATGAGTTCCCCAGTAACTCAAAGAAGACGTGTCAAGAATGGTTCAGTCAGTTACCTGAGCTTTCTGGAGTCCAAGTTACAAGGTGCTATCGTGTTGCTGAGAAAATTGTGGAAGACGTCTCTATCCATACTATGGTGGATGCATCGTTGTTGGCCTATGCTGCTGTAAGTTATGCGCGGCATAAATATAAAGATGGAGAAGTGACTGTGCTATTTATTTCAGCGAAAGCTAAGATCGCACCTACGAAGGCGACATCAGTTCCAAGGCTAGAACTAATGGCGGCAGTGTTAGGTCTTAGACTGGCGAGGAAGGTGTCAGAGCTGTTACAGATACCTTTTGAGAACTGTACACTATGGACGGACAGTAAGGACGTCATTTTCTGGATTCAGGGTCAGTCGAGACGGTATAAGACCTTCGCTGCCAATCGAATATCAGAGATCCATCAGAAGTCTAGTCCCAGGCAATGGCGACATGTCCCCACCGATTTGAAATGTGCGGATGATGCAACTCGCGGGCCACACGCGAAGGTGCTGACAGGTGAACATCGCTGGTTTAGAGAACCTGAATTCCTGAGTGAGCATGAAGATGCCTGGCCTCAAGGAAAATGCACAGTGCTTGAAGAACGTTCAGAAAAATGTCTCGCTGAGATGGTCAAACCGACGATGACCTTTGCAATAGAGATTTCACAACCGTTGATGAATCCATTAAAGTATTCTAGTTGGAACCGACTTAGAAGAGTCACAGCATGGGTGAGACGCTTTGCTGATTTGTTGTTAGCCAGAGTAAAGAATAAACAAGGCGAACCTTTAGATATTGTTACCAGGAGCGGACTTACATTGACACCAACTGAAATAGACAGAGGTGGAAAACTGTGGGTGAAACAAGCACAGGAAGAAAGATTTCCTGAAAAGATAAAAGATCTGATGGGAGGAAAAGAAGTAAGAAGACAGAGCCACTTGAAACTCCTTACCCCTATTGTGGATGAGCTAGGTATATTGAGAGTCCGAGGGAGATTGGACCGAGCAGAACTATCTTACGATGCAGCACACCCCATGATCTTGCCAAAGAAACATCACATCACCCAATTAGTTGTTGCAGACGTTCATAACTGTTGTCGACATGCGGGCGTCAACCACGTGCTAGCTCAGGTACGAAACCGATACTGGTTATAGATGGTCGACAGGAGGTGAAGAATTGGGACAAAGAATGTAAGATGTGCGAGAGAAGATGTGTACAGCCATCAGTGCAGATCATGGCACCACTTCCAAGGACGAGAGTTGGAACAACGATGAGAGCGTTTGCAAAGTGCTGTGTTGATTACGCTGGCCCCTTGACGACCAAGATTACTGGAAGAGTTTCTGCTAAAAGGTACTTGTGCCTGTTTACGTGCTCAGCAACCAGAGCGGTGCATCTAGAAATGGCATGTTCATTGAGCACCACAGATTTCCTGAATGCGTTCAGCCGAATGGTAGCCACCAGGGGAAGACCGGAAGAAGTTACAAGTGACAATGGGACAAACTTTGTAGGAGCAGAGAGAGCTCAGAGAACTTGTTCAAGCAATGGACCAGGAACAGATCGCGGGTAATGTTGGCAATGATGGGATCAAATGGAATTGGAATCCTCCATTGGGGTCGCACTTGGGAGGGGTGTTTGAGTCCCTGGTTAAAGTAGCTAAGAAAACTCTGAAAGCAATAGTTGGAAATGCTGGGCTAACCGATGACGAGCTGCACACTGCTATCAAGGAAGTAGAAGTATTGATGAACTCGAGACCATTGACGTATGAAGGAGCTGACCCGCGAGACGAGCCAGTGTTGACACCTAACCACTTCCAAGTTGGGCAGCTAGGAGGACAACTAGCACCTCAAGTTACCGATGACATCGTCTTTAATCCCAGGCACCGTTGGAGACTGATTCAGAACCTGGTGAGATTGTTCTGGAAGCGCTGGAGAGAAGAGTATCTCTCAACACTTAACACGCGAAAGAAATGGAGAAAGGCCAAAGAAAACCTGAGGGTCGGGGATGTAGTGCTTGTTGTTGATCAGAGTGCTCCACGCGGTCAGTGGCATCTGGGTCGAGTGGAAGAGGTGTTCCCAGGTCAGGATGGACAGGTGCGCGTCGTCCAAGTGAGCACAAGGGGCCAGAAATTTATACGCCGGATAACTATGCTATGCCCGTTGGATGTCGCTGGTCAGTCAGAGTACAAGCCCTAGAGAGAAGAGCTGAGGACCCGGAGCCGCTCTTCGGGGGAAGAGGATGGACACGCGATTTCATTTGTTTATTGTCTTTTGTAAGCGCCAGGCGCCACCCCGTGTGGGGGACTGGATCGAGATTAAAAAGGTTGTGTCGTGAGCACATGGAATTAATGAGTCTGGAGTGTGTTTTTTAAACCGTTACAGTTAGGATAATTTCCCAAGCCTAGGAATCTCCATTCGTTTTCGACTATTTGAGCCAAAACGGGTGAGATAGGTACCATTTCGACTCTTCCAGAATCTGAATTGGCCCCTATGAATTCTACGTTGCGGGAACTTTTTTTCAATTTGGCCCTTCAAGGAGCCAAGTAGGATTTACCAATTTGGCCCCAGAAAGGCACAATAATTGTACGCACAGTGAACAGGGTTATTACTTTTTGATAAAGGCTGATAGTTTCGAAAGAAACTGTTTGGGGCTGCGTCGGTGGGAGTAACGAAATAGTTTGGATATATCAACAAAGTTGAAATGGTAAATTGGCCACCGTAACGATTACAAAAGCTGACGTTTCGAGCGTTAGCCCTTCGTCGGAGCGAAAGACGAAGGGCTAACGCTCGAAACGTCAGCTTTTGTAATCGTTACGGTGGCCAATTTACCATTTCAACTTTGTTGATATATCCAAA